GTTCCCGGTAGGGTTCCCTACGGACCCGGTCCGTCCACCATCTCCCAGGATACCTAGTCAGGCTGTCCACATTATTCGTTTGCCAATTCACATAACTTTTTATCCCTTTTTCTTTAGTCACCATCATCAAGTCACACACAAACATGCAAACCGGTAGTTCACGCCAACAAGACAACACACAACATCGGGTTCTCAGTCATTCAGTCCATAATCAATGAAACAGTGATACATGGACACGAAACTATGAAATAAAAACATCAGACATTATACTGCATTAAAACTGTAAAATAGAACAAATAACAACTGACCGACAAATACACTAGACTCGAGCTCCATTAGCAACCTTAAATAATTTCACACAGCTATTGATTCATGAAATAACATTTTATCATTTATTGCACTTTAATATCGTGATAGGAAATAGGGTGAGGAATCCTTACTTGTTTTCGGGGTCTGAATACGGCTCTACAGTGCGCCTACAGGCTGTCCTTAATTTTTCCTGAATTTTTTTCGGGAAACAGAAACGCACTACTGGTACCTGCACGTGTCCCAAAAAATCCCAAATTAGACCCGGGGCCCTTTTCGGCCAATATCGCAATTCCGGCACGGCGGCTCCGCCGTGCTCCGGCGACGGCGATTCGCCTCGGGTTGGCCGTTTTCGGTCGAATTCAGCCACACTTACATCGGTCCCTGCGATAAAACAACCCTAGGGCCCTCAGGGGGCCAAAAAATTACGAAAAACCGAAGCTTACCGGCGGCGGTGCTCTCGGGTGCGGCGGCTCTCCAGCGAGGTTCGTGTTTTGGTGATTTGGCTCCGATCAACCTGTAAAGAAAAGAATAGTGATCACGGTGATATAAAAATTGTATCAAACGGAGGCCGGGAAGGGCCTCATCGGAGGCAAAAACTGAGGAGGGGCGCGGCGGCGCCGCTGGGTTTCGACAGTGTTTTCCGGCCGTTTGGCCGGGAGTTTGGCTCCGATTTGGCCACCGGAGAACTCAGCTTTGAAAAATGAGCTGGGGGTATGAAATTTACCTTGATCGGCGATCGGAAAACTCCCCGGTGCGGCGGCGGGTGGCGGCGGCCAGCTCCTCCAGCGTCTGGTTCGTCTTCTCCAGCGAGGGCTGGCGGCTAGGGTTTTTGTGGTCAGGTGTGGGGGTTTTATTTATATCCTTTGCCTTTTAATCACAGCCGTCCATCTTGATTTAATCTGAACCGTTCGATCGCGATTTAATTTGGATTAAATCTGGGCCGTCCATCGCGATTAAATCTGGGCCGTCCGTACTTGATTGAATCTGGGCCGTCCGTGCTCGTGCATCTGGGCCGTCCGTGCTCGTGCATCTGGGCCGTCCGTGCGCACGCTTGATCTGGGCCGTCCGTGCGCGCGGGGACGCATCTGGGTCGTCCAATCGCGCGCACGCAGATCGCCCACGTGGCTCGTTCCTGGGTCGACGTGGCCTTGCCACGCGACAGGTCCTGGTTGGCCAGGGCTGCTGACTGGGCTGCTGACGTGGCTGCTGACGTGGCACTGAAGGGGCACATTTTTTATAAATTACGTTTTGACCCCTAGTTTCCGATTTTCTTTTTAAAAATACCCCCATAATCCAAATTTTCACCCTTTTTTCCTAAAATCAATTTCAATTAAATCCAAATAATATTTTTACCCAATTTTATCATTATTATTATTATTTTTTTTATTAAATTAAATTAAATTAAATAAATCAATTAAAATTTAAAAATTATAAAATAAACAAAATAAAATAAATTAAAAATTAAAAATAATAATAATAAAAATTATAAAATTAGTGGGTGTTACAAAATATGACCTCAAACACTTTTTCTTTGGCTTTACCTCCTATTTTCACATGATGAAAATTATTAATTATGAACTGTAAAAATACAAACATATCTACAATAATTTAATTTATGAGATGTGGTTGGAAATGATGATAAACTCTCACCGTTACCATCTCATTATGTTGTGGCTCAACTAAAGAGTCACAATAAATAAAAATTTAAGAGAATTAATGGCAAATTTTAATGAGAAATATATCAATGACCAGAGATTGATAAAAAGTGTATCAATAATTGAAATTGATTAGAAGTGCATCAATAATCAAAGAAAAGTGCTTTAAAATATAAAAATTAAATAAGACATTTTAGAGAGAGGTGTTTTAACAAGACAGATTTAATGCTTGTAATTTCTATATTAAAGGAGAGTGTTAAAGATTAATGATAGGATTTAATTAAACTTGGTCAATATTTATCTTTTAAATATTATGTAATTAACACAAGCTTATTTTTCAGGAAAATTAATATATGTTTATCTTTTAAATATCATAAAATTTGTGATTTTTCTTTTTAGCATATGACTTTATATATAAGTCTATTTAAATGCACACCAAGAGGTTAATTCTTAAATCAATGGAAATTCAAGTTTTCTTCACCTAGAAAAATTAAAAAATTATATTAGAATCTTTATTGGTCACGAGTTTGTAAGAAAAAATATAGGGAGAACACAAGTGAATTCTGTACAGTAAATATGACCTCAAACATTTTTTCTTTAACTTCATCTCTTACTTTCTCATGGAAAAATTATCAATTATGAGTTATGAAAATACAAACATATCTAAAATTATTTGATTTATGGGATGTGATTGAAAATGATGGTAAACTCCCACTATTGCTATCTCATCCTACTGTGACTCAATTAAATAGTCATAATGAATAAAAATCTAAGAGAACTAATAATAAATTTTGGTGAGAAATGCATTAATAGTTGGATATTGATGAGAAGTACATCAATAATTAGATATTGATTAGAAGTGTATCAACAATCAAAAAGAAGTATTTCAAACTATGAAGATTAAAAGAACATATATTATGGAGGGATGCGCCAACAAAAAAAATTAATGTATAAATTATAATTTATTTTATTTTTTAGTTTAAATTCAAATAAAGTTTATTTTTTAATAAAATTTTATCAATATTTATCTTTTAAATATCATATAATTAGTAAGATGTTATCTTTTAAGAGATTTAATAAATATTTATATTTTATATATCATGTAGTTAGTGATATCTTATTTTAAGATATCATTTAATATGTAACCCTATTTAAAGGGTGGGATATTAAGTTTTTAAATCAATAGAAATTCAAGTTTTTTTAACCCAGAAAATCTCCAATAATTCCTCTCTTAGACAGTCCATGCCGTGCTCTTCATGGCTTGTATGATCCGGAACGAATCATGCTGCCTTGGTTCTCATCATCAAACATTCTTTGCATTTTGTAAGTCAAAACTTAGAACAATAATATATATATATATATATATATATATATATATATACCAGTAATATACGTGTTCGCAACGTATTTATTATCCCAAATATTAATTACGTGCTTATACATATATAGTTATGGAAGTGTCTTCTTTTATACGTGAAAGGGAAGCTAATTAGAAAAGAACAAACGAGCCAACAGAAGCAGAAAACTTTGTGAGAGAGAGAGAGAGAGAGAGAGAGTAAATGCAAGTACTGAAGCTATTTTGATTTGTTGATATCCACTCAATCGGACAGAAAGATAACGGTGTCTTGGCTCTTGGTGAGTACTACATATATATATATATATCTTCAAGTTGAAGCTTTAGCCTTTTGCTGATTAGGTTCTTGCTTCCTGTTTGAGAAGTTGATAGGAAGCTTGGAATTTGGAGCGAGTTGGGAATCTGCTATGGCTACTACTGGATCTTGTACTTTTAGCTGTAAAGGAGTGATTTTGTTGATTAGTTTTATTGTGCTAGCTTCACTGGTACTTTACCCAAAGCATCAACAGGGTAATATACAGTCTGCTAATTACTTGAGAAAAGCTTTTAACTTCTTAGAGAACAAAGATGATGATCATCATCAATCGCATTACGAACATCATTGGCCAGTAAGCATACATACATCTCTACATACCAATTCTGATTCCATAAATAGTTAATTATTTCTTGGTTTAGCTGCTTGAAAATTAACTTTCTGTTTATATATGGATCTCCACTAATTAGAACACGTAGAGAAGGAAAAGAATTAAAATAATGTAAAGGCATACATGTAGTAGTACTGGCAGGTAGATTTGTTATAATTAAGGTCTTTAATTAATTATACATTAATCTGGTAAGTTTTGAGAAAGTTTGGATTTATTTTACAGGAATTGAGATTTGGATGGAGAATTGTGGTTGGAACAGTAATTGGATTCATGGGAGCCGCATTTGGCAGTGTGGGAGGTGTCGGTGGGGGTGGCATTTTTGTTCCGATGCTCAGTTTAATTATTGGATTCGACACAAAATCATCAGCAGCGATGTCAAAATGTAACGAAAAGTTAATCCAGTTCACTATTGTTTCATCAATTGTGTTATTTCACTAATTAATTAAATAGAACTAAGTTATGTTTTACATATATATATATATATAGTTGATCATTAGTCTTATGCATATATATCTATATATATATATTTGTGTTGTAAGGTATGATCACTGGAGCATCTTTGTCCACGGTGTATTATAACTTGGGGCAGAAGCATCCATCACTCGACCTGCCGGTGATCGACTATGATCTGGCCCTTCTTTTTCAGCCCATGTTGATTTTGGGAATTAGCATTGGAGTTGATTTGAATGTCATTTTGGCTGATTGGATGATCACAGTATTGTTGATCATCCTCTTCTTTGGTATCTATATATTGTATATATGTATACCTATGCTTCTTCCATTTATTGCTGTTGTTTTAGAAAACTTTGCTCATGTACGGCCCCGTTTAACTGCAGTTATTGCAACCAAGGCATTTTGGAGAGGTGTTCGAACATGGAAGAAGGAGACCATTGTTATACATGTTCGTCATCTTCTTGTAAATATGTGTTTTTGTAGGTGTGTGTATATATATATATATATATATAGTCTGACTGCTGTTTCTGGATCTGGCAGGAGGAAGCTAGGCGGGTAGAACCAAATGGTGGGATAAGAATCTTTTGTTTCTTTTACTAGCTAGCAGAAAAATGAAATAATTATTTAATTATAATTAGTTTTGCTATAATTAATTTTGATATTTAATTTTATAATTCAATAATATATATTTCTTGGATCTTTTATATTTTTATATGTATTTATATTGGTGAAATTGATTTGCTTTTTATGTTAAATCAGGAGACTTTATGGATGAAGCAGAATGCGAAGTTGAAGGTGAAGATACAAGTGATAAAAAAAGAAAGGTGATTATATATATATATATATATATATATATATACACATATATATATGAAAGATAATCTCCATATTCTTGAGAATATATACTTATGATGAATAGGGGAATTGATGAATTGAGATGTATATAATATATATATATATATATACATGGATGTTTGAAGGTGTCGATTGTTGAGAATGTATACTGGAAGGAGGTAGGATTGCTGGTTGGAGTATGGGTCATAATCCTGGCACTGCAGATTGCTAAGGTAGTGTTCTGATCACGTGTATATATACATAAATATAATTACAATAAATTCATTGCATAAATCATGTTTCTTGCAGAATCACACGTCAACTTGCTCGTGGGCGTACTGGGTGTTTAATGTATTACAGGTCAACTGCCATTATTCAAAAATATAATATGTATGTATATATATATATATAGTCATTTTTAAGTAAGAATTTACTAATGATAAGAGAATATCAAAGAAATCATCTCGTGTCGTCCGAACATAAAAAATTTATAATAATTTATATATTCAGATTCCAGTAGCAGTTGGTGTGAGCTCGTATGAGGCGGTGAGCGTGTATAAAGGCAAGCGAAAGATGGCTTCGAGGGGAGAAGCCCGAGCCGAGTGGAAGGCGTGGAAGCTGGTGTTTTTTTGTCTGTGTGGAGTGGTGGGTGGCATTGTGGGTGGTTTGTTGGGGCTTGGTGGAGGATTCATTTTGGGTCCACTTTTTCTTGACATGGGATTTCCTCCGC